CGGCAACCTTTATCAAGAGAACATCGCATGCACCATGAGTGGCAAAGCTGAAATCAGGTGAATATTGCAGCAGTAGGTTGGCAACCTACAGTTTATGAACAGAGCATCACGAACACCATGAGGTGATAAAGCTTTTAAGATCCGTAGGTCGGCAACCTTTATCAAGAGAACATCGCATACACCATGAGTGGAATCAGGTGAATATTACAGCAGTAGGTTGGCAACCTACAGTTTATGAAGAAAGCATCACGAACACCATGAGGTGCAAAGCTGAAATAAGCTGAATACTACAGCAGTAGGTTGGCAACCTGCAGTTTATGAAGAGAGCATCATGAACGCCATGAGGTGCAAAGCTTCTAAAATCCGTAGCCGAGCAACCTCTCAAGAGAAAATTGATGCACCATGAGTGGGAAAGCTGAAATAAGCTGAATATATAACAGTAGGTTGGTGACCTACAGTTCATGAATTGAGCATCACGAACACAACGAAATGCAAAGTATCGCATGCACCATCAGTGGCAAAGCCGAAAAAAACTGAATATTGCAACAGTAGGTTGGCAACCTACAATTTATGAAGAGGGCATCACAAACATAATGAGATGCAAAACTTCTAGAATCCGGCCAGTAACCTCCATCAAGAGAACATCGCATGCACCGTGAGTGGCAAAGCTACAATAAGCTGAACACTACAGCAACCTGCAGTTTATGAAGATAGCATCACGAACACCATGAGGTGCAAAGCTCCTAGGCCAGCAACGTCTATCGCGTGCACCATGAGTTGCAAAGCTGAAACAAGCTGAACATTACAGCAGTAGGTTGGCAACCTACAGTTTATAAAGAGAGCATCACGAACATGAGGTGCAAAGCTCCTAGAATCTATAGGCCAGCAATCCTTATCAAGAGAACCTCGCGTGCACCATGAGTGGCAAAGCTGAAATAAGGTGAATATTGCAACAGTAGGTTGGCAACCTACAGTTTATGAAGAGAGCATTCGCGAACACCATGTCGGTGCAAGGTTTTAAAATCGATGGGTCAGCAAACTACAAGAGAGCATCACGTGCATCACAATCCTTAGTCGTTGGTAAGTATATGTAAGTATCAACTTCACCACAAAACGACAGGCTTCGTAGCATCCTGCAGTAAACATCATCAACATGGCACCACTCGTGCCTTCCTCTTCCCTCAAGGGCTTCCCGTTCCCATTCGGCTCCACCGCTTGCAGCGGATCAGGTCAACACCTTCTCGCCAGAGGGCCGACTCTTCCAGGTGCGACGGCATAGCCGCACGGTCATCCTCCTCCCAAAAAGCAAGGTCTTAGCTCCGTTCTGGCTACGTGATTTTGGGTGTTTTCTGATTTTTTATTTTTGAAAAAGGGGGCAAGTGTAAGAGTAGCCCAAAAGAGCTGCTGCAGAATGTATACTGGATGGTGTTGGAAATCCTTTCATTGGAGACTGCATCGCCATGCTTCCTGTTTAAAAGAATCTGTCACACTTGCTTTCAGGTTGAATATGCCATCGAGGCCATCAAGTTTTGGCCTGAGATTTCTTCAGATTTCTTCAATCCCGCTTTGGAGATCGGCTGAACAATTCGTTGTGGATCCAAGGCTGGGTTCAACAGCCATCGGGATTTGCACCAAGGAGGGTGTCCGAATCCTGGATGTTGTGAGACAAGCGAGGTGCTATGAGACCAAGGAGACGGTGTATTCCCAAATGAAGCATTTCGTTTTCCAAGTGCTATGACATCTCAAAAGCATGTCACTTTTTGAGCTTTCTCAACCGTCTCACCGTCCGATCCGCATGAGGTCATTCTCGTAGTGGAGAAGAGGCCAGTCAGCGGCTTCCATTCTTTTCTTTTGACACTGCTTGCCAGTTAGTATCAGAGTTGGCTTGTTGTTTTGTTAGCTTTGCGCCTTCAAGCAAAGAACCGCTTTTTCTCTTGGCCTCGGCCCAGCAAAAAACGCCTACGTCGCTGAGGGTGACGTCACCATTGGTCGACCCCAGCTCCATTGAAAAGCTCTTAGAGATTGACTGTCACATGGGCCGCTCAGACTGAGTTGAGTTGCCTTCCGCGTTGCAGGGGAAACGGAGGATTTGTCTGGTTCCGCTCCGGTTCGTTCGGGTGAGGAGAGAGGGAGAGAGGGCCAGCTTGCGTTAGTCTTGAGTTGCCAAGCGTGAACCGAGGCTGTGCCATGAGTGGCCTCACTGCTGACGCACGAACTTTGGTGGATCATGCCAGAGTTGAAGCGCAGGCAGCCGTTCTACAACATAGAACTTTTCCCGGTGATTGTTTGGCACAGCAGAGAATTCAGCGCAGGGATGATGACTACAAACACTACTCTACTACAAACACTACTCTCTAAGAGAAGAATAGAGAAGATGCTTCTTTTGAGATTCAACGAGACTGTTTTGTTCTTCGCAGGCACATTGGTTCACCTACAACGAGCGCATGCCCATCGAAAGCAACGTCAATGCTCCCGCCTCAGTGCCGCAGATGGACCGCAGAAAATCCTAATAGCAATGGCCTCCAACCTAATAGCAAAGGAACCTAAGAGCGATGGCCTCCACCCGGTCGTAGCGATGCACCTCCGGGGTGGCCCCTGGACCGCTACGGAGTGGAGGGGCTTGGCTCGTGTGCGCTCGGTTTTCCCAAGGCGATTGCAGACCTGGCCTTGGACTTCAGCGACTCGGACAAGAAGAAGAAGACCATGTCGCGGCCCTTCGGCGTCGAGGACCTAGCGAGACGAGAGGAGGTAGAACAAACCGATCCAAACATAGAGGGATTCTTGGATACACCATGTAGTGAAGGCATGAATCGGCACTTTCAGTCTAGGACGGAGTTTTGAATCTTAAGCTCCTGCCAAGACTCCGGAGCTTCACAGTCCGACTTCCAGACTTTGACCGTCCGGCTGCATGATGTGATGTTCGCTCAGGTGGCCCTGTTGGTTGGTGGCGTGGATCCTTGGGATGGTCCCGTGCTCTTCAACACGGTTACGAGCTCAGCGAGCTCAGAGGGTGGCGGTCATGCTTTGCGTCGCCACCGAAGTGGTGGTGGATCAGGGGGTGGGGACGGCCACGACCGCTTTCCAAAGGCCGTTATTTTGGTTACGGCTACGACCATTTTCTTTTTCCATGCTTGCATTACTTAGACTTAGACGTGTGATGATGTGTGAAATGGTCAAGGGGATGCTAGAGGCAATACCACCACGACTGAGGATCCTTCAGGAACTTTCACCAAGTATGCGACTGGGCAGCAAAGGAGCATGGCGGATCAGCATGTTTGCGCGGATCAGAGGGAAATGCAGCTAGGAACACTTCGTTGCAACTCTGGCCGGAGCGAAGTTTATGATTCAGACGTGCTTGGATCAGAGTTTGTGCATTAACTCAGGCAGCCTGCGCCATTGGCAGCGCTCAGGAGGGTGCAACAAGCATGCTGCAGGCCCTTCACTCACGGGTTTCTCAAATATGTTCTTTTTTGTTTTTCTGCCGGCAGCAAGACACTTTTGCGTTGCCAGGAACAGTACAACAAGGACATGACATTAAAGGAGGCTGAGATTTTAGCGCTCACCACGCTGCGTCAGGCACGACAAGACATGTCTCTGAAACGGCAAATCAAGAACCAGCGGATCCCGGTGGGTTTAGTGGAACCTTGCCGAAAGGAGAGAAGAGACATTAACTGGAAAGTGATCAAGAAGCAGACGATCTCTGGATTAGAGGTCTAGCAATCTAGTTGACTCTTTGGCAGGTCATGGAAGAGAAGTTGAGCAAGTCCAACATCGAGGTTGGAGTGGTCCCAGCTACTACCGGAATGTGTGGACTCTCAGACTCTCAATGGGAAACGTGTTGCAGAAGATGTTTTGTCACTCGCAGATGCAATGAGTTTGCTTCTTTGCCCTCTGTTTTTTTTGCTAGAAACATAGGGGTCAAAAGACAGAGGCTCCCTGCAATCACGACAGGTCTGCTTTGGTTCAAGCGACTCGAGCAAGGTGGAGTAGAACATGAATAGGTAGGTAGGGTAGGGTAGGCAAGGGCAGTAAGAGTAAGGGTAAGGGCAAGGGCAAGGGTAAGGGTAGGGTAGGGTTAGGTGCGTAGGTAGGTAGACAGGCAGGCTGGAAGGTAGGCAAGTAGGTAGGTAGGTAGTAGGTAGGTACGTAGGTAGGTAATCGGCATGGCCTCCAACCTAATAGGCATGGCCTCCAACCCAATAGGAATCTCCTCGAACCCAATAGGAATGGTCTCCAACCTAATAGCAAACAAGCAAACATCATCACGCCTTTTTCATTGCTTGGCTTTGTTTTGGGAGCCCTTGTTCTTCTCCGTTCGAGGTTCCGCTGCTACACAGCCGAAGAGCTGGACGACCTCATTTCTCGATTGTGCACGGCCAAGTTGGAACGACACCACGGCAGTGGCTGGCGGTGACGGCCTGGGTTGGTTGATTCATAGAGGATCCCCCGAAGTGAACGAAGCAATGGGTATATATCATGGTATGTCTAGCCAAACTCGACCCCTCGATGTTTTCCAGAAAGACATCATCGACTGACACCGGCACTCCGCTGTTTTTTGGGTTGATTGGCAAGAGGCACGGCCAGGTCGGCAGTGAGTCGGCAGACACTTCGGGCTTGAGGGCTTGATGGTGGGTGCCTCTTCAAAGTCCATATGTTCCTCTGAAGTTCAAAGCAAGTTCGGACCTGGTTGAACTCTCAAGTTGAGGACTTGGTCAAGTTCTAAGTTCCTCTCAAGTTCGATGTTTGTTTTTAATCCTTGATTGGTTGATTGATAGTGGGGAATACCGGCATATGGTCGTGAACAAACAAGAGGTATATATGGTCCCAAATCGACCCCCTCTATTATATCCAGAAGGACAGCAGTTTCACTCAACCTGTCTGGTTCACAAAGCGAGGCCAGCACCGACACTGCCAACTTTGTCGAGCGCGACAGGCCCAGGCCGGGGTTAAAGATCAAGTCAGAATCAAAGTCCCCAATAAAGGATCAAGGACAGGCTAGAATCAAGTCAGAATCAAGTCCAAGACAGGCTATAAGATGCTCTGAGCACATGTGTTTCCATCAATAAAGGGGAATACTTTTTCATACCATACCATACAATAAAGGGTGCTCATCGAAAAGGCGTCCAAATCTAGCGGACGGTCGGCCTTCTCAATGGAGGCATTCTTGCGACTAGTAGCGATGCCCTTTGTTACGTTCGTAGCTTCTTGTTACTAGTAGTAATGGCCTCCAACCTAATAGCGATGGCCTCCACCCTAGTAGCTTCTTGTTACTAGAGACTCCCTTTGACTTTAACTTCACAAAAGTTCTTGGCCCATGGATGTCCCATGGATGTCATGGATGTTCTTGGCGTCTTCATCATGTTCTCCCTGCCTGGGCCTCCTTTTCTTTTCGTTCGTTTGGAGGTCGAAGTGACCTCTCCTACGGGGCATAAAAGGGCATAAGAGGCGCATTTGCGAGCTAGCTGAGCTTCAATTTTCGATCTTTGCCGCCATGTTTGGTCATCTCTGTTGTTTTGGAGGCTCTTGATGTATCGAAAGTGATATCTCATGGTACGAAAAGAGGTGCACAGTTCGGATCTCAGATAACACCCAGCGTCACAAGTGGCTGACAAAGCATTCTGTTTGCATTTAAAGTGGAATTGTCTCGAGGCGGCAGACCAATGGAGCATTCACAGCGCTCAGCGTCAAGGAAAAAGCAGAGGTGCTGACTGAACAGATGCATATGTATACATCATTATACAGTATACAGTAATACATCACAACAAAGGCCAATAGTCCACATGGATGCAGTTTCCCGAATGCAGCTGCAAGACTCTTGAAGACTTGAACATGAGGCTTGATTGTATCTAGGATTGCGGATATCGCTGTCGCCTCATCGGCTACAGCCAGCGCGGCCGCGGGGAGAAAAGGATTGTCGTTTGCCGCGACGGCAAAGCTCGTCCCAGCATGGCACCGCCGGCCAAAAAGGCCAAGTGGATGAGGATGAGGGGGCGATAATTAGATTGTGATCATGTTTTTGATGTAACCAGATTCTTCGAATATGTTCGAGCTATTGCCAAAGTGAATTCCCTTCAAGAATAGAGGAGACTGTCGTTTCTGCCCATGTGGGGACCTTTAGGTGGTGAGGAAAACAAGGGTTGGTCAGGTAGGAAACATGTTGGAGTTGCTCATCGGCTTGGTGTGAAGTGAGGCGAAGCTCTCTTCTCCTGGTGGTGTGGGGAACATCTCCAGCTTCTTTGGGCTGCTTAGCAAAATCATATGACACTTAACTAATAGCGATGGCCTCCAACCTACCAGCCATGGCCTCCAACTTAATAACGATGGCCTCCAACCTACTAGCTCCTTGAAAATTCTAAGGCTTGTCCAACTTAGACCAAGATGTGTTTAATTGTTTGATCCTGAGGCCAAAGAAGTCTGCAGAGGCCAGTTTGATGGGAAGATAGGACTGTTTGTCATTGAGAAGCACACGACTTGTGGTATCTTGTGGTGTGGAGATTGCATATAGAGAAGTGATTGAACCGACGAGAAGAACAGACTCATCTCTAAGATCCGCACAGTTCTTACCTTAGGGCAAACTAAGATAACATCAGATGGGAATAGTGGATCAGCACAAGCAACGTTCGGGTGAGTGTGCCAGGCCAAGGCGAATACAGCCAATTCACCAGCTCCAAATGCACCAGCGCAATCGCCACAGGTCCTCTCGCCATGGAAAGTTGAGAATGGTCGCATGTTATGCGTCGCCCAAAGCGTCCGTGGCGTCGCAGGGGGATTTGGACTCGGCCACTTCTATAGCTTATTTTTTGCCCCAAAGTCGGCGCTGGTCCCGAGGATGTGGGTTGTTCCGAGTTTGTTCGTTTGAGCTGAAGACTTGAAAATTCTTGATTCCATCCAGTGGATCCACAGGTTTTGACCGTCAAAAAGGTAGCGTGGCTATTGTTTAGAATGCACCTTGTACTGTTTCATGGACGTTCAGAGTCTAGCGAGCCTTCAGCTTGTCATGGTGCCAGGGGGCAGAAAAGGATGCACCTAAGAGGATCTTCTTCGATGACCCATGATTAGCATTGATTAGTTCCTGCTCCTTGTGACGTGCGGAACGCACCAGGACGGAATGGATCGGAACCAGAACGGCCCCCCCCGGCGCCAGGAGACCAAGGAGGTGCCGCGCCCAAGACTCAGAGTCTCCCGAGCGTCAGCCTTGACGTCCGAAAGCGGAGGCAGACTTCTGGCTGGACCGAAGAGAAGACACAGTCATGCGCGTGCTGCGGGAGAGAAGAACCACACCACCATGCACGCGCGGGGATATGTCAAGGTCAAGTTTCGAGTCCGTCTCCCTCCCAACGCATCTCACGTCGCACTCACTTCGCTCCCAATCCGTCGCATGGAGCGCTCCGCCGGTGTCGACGGTCGACGAGGCGAGGCTGTAAAGACTGCGCCTGCCTTGCTGACCGGAGGAGAGCTTCATGTCATGCGGACATGGCGATGGGTCTTGGATGATGATGTTCCATGATGGATCAGTCGTCTTGATGGATTATCAAGTTGCCTTCTTTGGATTGAAACACAGTGGTGATGCTCTTGGCGCTGAGAGTGGATAGCTTGAGGATTGAGACCTTGTGCCCGGTTGTCAGGAGAGCCACAGACCACACCAACCAAAGATGAGGTAAAACCAGCCAGTCGTTGAGGGCTTAGAATTCGCGAAGCAAAGAGCTTTGAGAAACTACAGTAGATTTTGTGTCTAATTCCACCTTGAGCAGTGGGATGGGTGATTGAGTTGTTCACTCATGGTACCTATGGGCATATATACTGTATATCTGAAGGTTTGAGCGATGGTTATTTGTTCGGTCGAAGTTATTTGTTCGGTCGAAGAACTTTCGCTCGAGGAGCTCCACCCAGCAGCACGCCTGAGAAGTTTGGGCACCCAAAATGAGAGATTGGCAAAGAACTGTTCGTTCAGGTCTGTTCAGGGGTGTCTAAACACGATGGGAATATACCCATGCCAGACTCCTTTCATTTCGGACATGAGAGATCCAAATCATCCAGTGCAGATCTCCATCAACGACATCTACTTTGAGATTGTAGTTGATGCAGTTTGCAGGTGAAAGCCAAAAGGTTGGGCAGGTGAGGAAATGTGGTAGGTACTGCAAAGTGAATCTTGCAGGGGCTGCAAACCCAACCCTTGCCACGCAGGTTTCACAAGAGGCATCCCAAGACCATTTGCAGGGAAGCCTCTCTTGAAGAAACAACTGCAAACAACTGCAAACTACCGTAGATGGTCATGGGCTGGTGACAGCACTCAGGGGTTTGATTATTTGCTCCATCTACTGTAGTTTAGATCCTCATCAGTGGGATTCTTGAGGCTCAGCCCTGGTGCCCCACGCCGTGTGGCCACTGCAGCGACAGCCTGCTTGACCACCGGGAGGTTCCACTGCTTGAAAGGCCTTGGACACGTGGGAAGACAAGTGAGATGAAAGGCCCAAGGAAGACCACATCTATGTCATAAAGAATTTCAAGCTTCTTCATTAACTTGCTATGTCCATTGGCAAGATTGGGCGTGCAACACTCGGTTGTGTCATGCACGGTTGCCATGGCATGACATGAAAACGGGGAAGCTCAACTGCTTTGAAAAGCCACAAGGCAGGCATTGAGGTCTGATGGCACAAAATCAAGGCATTGCCCCATGGCCTATTCGTTTGTGTTTCAGCAGGTGTCAAGCCTAGCGGCTGGCAGCAGTGTCTTTGCAGCCAATTTGGGATCTCTGAAGGGCGGTTGCAGACATGCTCGTTTTTGGTACCCCTTTTCTGATGGTGTTTGATAGTTGCTGGTCTTACGGGATGGATTACTCTTTCAAACAGCGCAAGCGCTGCGCGCGAAGGGTTGCCATTTGAAGCGAGAAGCTCGAAGACTTGAACCAACATGTGATTCTAGATTCAGGGCACTGACATGCTGGCACTTGTTGTCAGCTTCTCAGTTGCATGCATGAAACACTGGACTGTTGCAGCCTCACATGTACTGCAGAGCGTGGGTCATTTCATGTGATGTCGTTGTCGATTTTCAGCATCATGGTCTGAGTCTAGCGTCAGTCTGACTTGCATGGCGCAAGGGGAGTGGCTGCTGATTGAGGTACAATAGTCTTTACAAGCTTCGCCTAAAGCAGCTTGCAGGCACCCCCGTCGGCCTTTTGGGAGAATCAGAGCTCAAAATGTTTCAATCTGAGTGCCAGGAATGCCAAATTCTTTTAGATTCAATCTCTAAACTAATGATTGCAGAAGATTTTTACCTTGGAACTGACATTTCTTTGTATCACCTTTCTCGTGACAGCCAGGTGCGACGCTGGAGTCTGCTGAACGATGGACGCCAGAGAGTAGCACCCGGGCTGCAGGTTTTCGTGTGTGTTTCGAACGGCGAAAAATACACCACACAAGAAACCACAGCTTTCTTTCTCCGGGGTGAGCGCATCATTTCTTTTGGTATTATCCAAATGTTTCTCCATGTATCTCTAGGGATCTTTGGACTCTTCGTTTGGACGTTTCCTATATACATCTATTCCGGATATGTTTGAAGGGTGTATACTGTCAAGTGGGATACGCACCCGTTGGGTCAACGAATCCTGGAGTCAGTTGTGAATGAGTAGTCGCGGATTGACCGTCGAGTTTTTGTGGCAAATATTTTGACAATCATTTGTCCTTGTACTGTATGACCAGAAACTGATGGAGAGAGTGAAGTGCCAGCAGTTGCATCGCTTCCATCTGATTTTGGCCAGAGGGTACACGGACTGCCCAGATGACTGTCCAGAGGGTACGCGGACTTGCCGTCGCCTCCGAGGCATTCTCACGGACTTGACGCATTTCTCGGCCAATCAAAGCCATGATGTGGTGGCCGTCGGTGTCCTCTTTAAGGCGAGGGAGAGCGTGGATGGGGAGCCGGAAATGCTTATGATGCTTCTCCTAGTACTTGGCTTAAAACATATGGGAAATCGCTTAGAAGATGACCTGGGAAAGGCTCCAGTAGATCGAGCACATGCTGTAAAACGAACTGAAAGTGCGAATGTCAGTCGCCATATACTATCCTTGACAAGGTTATGCTCTGTCTCTTTGACACTCACCAATCCAGCATTTGGGGTGTTGATGATGTGCAAATCAGCGGCATCACACAATTGAAGACTTCGAAAAACGTGCAGCCTGCAGCCATCCTGAAGTATCTTGGAACGCTGACCAGCCATCCTCCTTTCTTTTTGCTTGAACGGGACCCACGAGCGGCTCACCCACGAGCGGCTCACCCACGAGCGGTACGAAGAGTTGAACGCGACCAGCATGGTCCCTGTAGGACCTCAAGGGCAGACCGAATGTCATTGAAGAGCTGCTTGGCCGAAGAGTTGGACATGACATGGAAACATCCAAGGAGCTTTGCAGCTTTGAGTAGTGGGAAGTAGAAGGAAAACCGTTCCACTCTTCAGTTCTTGTGCTGGCATCTGTGGGAAATCCAACTCTTGGATCCACACACTTGCTGCAACCTGTGATCACTTTACAGTTACCCTGGTTGCATAATGACTTGCGGAACGAAATCCTTTGGCAGGTACAAAGGAAGTAAAGGCTTGCTCAATGACTGGAAGGCAGATCCGCGGCGACGTCGATCTTCAAACGGGCTTTACCGGGCGACCGGTCATCCGCGAGGTCCCGACCCCGACGGTTGAAGGTC